CTCACAAGAGGGTACCTATACCTGTACTGTGTACCTATATAGGTACACAGTACCTATACAAACGTGAGAGGCAGGCAGGAGAAAGCGGAAAAGCCCTAACCTGGGTAAAAAATGACTTAACAGTGCAACCCGTTCTCGCAAATTCGTAAAGTCAATATTGACTTATTAAATAAGTGCATAGGTGACATACTAAACATACTAAACATAATAGATACCCTTAAAAAGCTTCATAGAAAACACCGACCTTACCTAACCTTGTTAGTATCTTAAGATAAGCATCTTATTGCTTCGTAATTACAATTATTACTTAACCTATACCTATAATAGGTTAAGTAACAATTGTAATTACGAAGCTATAAGATGCTTATCTTAAGATACTAACAAGGTTAGGTAAGGTCGGTGTTTTCTATGAAGCTTTTTAAGGGTATCTATTATGTTTAGTATGTCACCTATGCCCTTATTTAATAAGTCAATATTGACTTTACGAATTTGCGAGAACGGGTTGCACAGGCAGGAGCGAAAGGGAGAAGTTGGAGTGCCGTAGGGTAACAAGCGGAGGACCTCAAGGACCAGTGCTGGACCAATTCTCTCTCTAACGTCAATAACATGTAAGACTCATTTCCTGTAGACATGTCCATGTTTTCAGATGATGCAACATTAATGAGACGAGTTGTGACAGAGGAGGCTTGTAGGATTCTCCATAAGGACTTGAACAAGTTGCAGAGATGGTCGGATGAATGGCTACTGCAGATCAATACGAGCAAGTGTAACGTGATGGAAATGGGACAGGAAACCAAATGGTTGTCTTGAGATGATTTCGGGGCTTAGCGTCCCCGCGGCCCGGCCCTCGACCAGGCCTCCTTTTTGTTACACACCTCCAGGAAGCAGCCCGTAACAGCTGTCTTACTCCCAGGTACCTATTTATTGCTAGGTGAACAGGGGGCATCAGGGTGAAAGAAACTCTACCCATTTGTTTCCGCCTCCGCCGGGGATCGAACCCGGAATCTCAAGGACTACGAATCGGAAGCGCCGTCCACGCAGCTCACACAACAACAGCCAAGGAGGGGGAGCCGCTCCCGGATTCCCCGGTCACCGACAAGACAGGCTCGGCCTTCCTTCCCGTCTGGGCTTTCCTCTCCCACTGTCCTGCTGCTGCTGCTGCTGCCGTACGTCTGCTGTCAGGCGCCCCAGCAGGCCAGAGGGAGGGGGGGGGAGGGGAAGGGAGGGAATTATCAGGGGAAAACGCCAAGCCATTAGACTATATAGCCCTGGGAAGGGGTCAGGATAGGATTTGGGATTTGGGATGAGACGGGGGAAAGGAATGGTGCCCAACCACTTGGACGGTCGGAGATTGAACGCCGACCTGCATGAAGCGAGACCGTCGCTCTACCGTCCAGCCCAAGTGGTTGGGCAGGGGGGGGGCAGGCCTTTGGGTGGGGGGGGAGTGTGCTGGTATTAACCAGGGATTAAATTATGTGGGGAGTGGTGTATGGGGAGGGGGGTGATGTTTGGGGAGGGAGACGGGGGGGGGGTGTCAACTGATCTTGAAGTCATTACTGGAGGAAGCCTGGACAAGGTGTGCTGCCAGCGGAAGTCATTTGTTTACCTCGCCTCACAACTACTGGCATGTCCTCCCTGTGCGTCCAGCGGCCCACTCTCCCTTCGTCCCGCCTTCTAATTACATTTCTTCAAGTTCTTTATTTATTATGCACCCCATACCCATCCCGTGGGGCGGTGGTGGAAAGGGTTACAGAGGCACATAATGGGTTCTGGACGAACGAACGTTTAGACGAACATCGTAGTTCGTCCATAACAGTCACTACACAAGGCAGGCGATGAGTCACAATAACGTGGCTGAAGTATGTTGACCAGACCACACACTAGAAGTTGAAGGGACGACGACGTTTCGCTCCGTCCTGGACCATTCTCAAGTCGATTTGTGAACAAATCGACATTGAGAATGGACAAATCGACTTGAGAATGGTCCAGAACGGACCGAAACGTCGTCGTCCCTTCAACTTCTAATGTGTGGTCTGGTCAACTATACAAGGCACTTTACACCTATGGTGAGTCTTGCTCCACACCCACCCAACTGGGCGGCAGCTTTACAGTCATGTGCAGGCTGCACCTACAGTCGTGTGCAGGCTGCCCCTACAGTCGTGTGCAGGCTGCACCTACAGTCGTGTGCAGGCTGCACCTACAGTCGTGTGCAGGCTGCACCTACAGTCGTGTGCAGGCTGCACCTACAGTCGTGTGCAGGCTGCACCTACAGTCGTGTGCAGGCTGCACCTACAGTCGTGTGCAGGCTGCACCTACAGTCGTGTGCAGGCTGCACCTACAGTCGTGTGCAGGCTGCACCTACAGTCGTGTGCAGGCTGCACCTACAGTCGTGTGCAGGCTGCACCTACAGTCGTGTGCAGGCTGCCCCTACAGTCGCGTGCAGGCTGCCCCTACAGTCATGTGCAGGCTGCACCTACAGTCATGTGCAGGCTGCACCTACAGTCGTGTGCAGGCTGCACCTACAGTCGTGTGCAGGCTGCACCTACAGTCGTGTGCAGGCTGCACCTACAGTCGTGTGCAGGCTGCACCTACAGTCATGTGCAGGCTGCACCTACAGTCATGTGCAGGCTGCACCTACAGTCGTGTGCAGGCTGCACCTACAGTCGTGTACAGGCTGCCCCTACAGTCGTGTGCAGGCTGCCCCTACAGTCGTGTGCAGGCTGCACCTACAGTCGTGTGCAGGCTGCACCTACAGTCGTGTGCAGGCTGCCCCTACAGTCGTGTGCAGGCTGCCCCTACAGTCGTGTGCAGGCTGCCCCTACAGTCGTGTGCAGGCTGCCCCTACAGTCGTGTGCAGGCTGCCCCTACAGTCGTGTGCAGGCTGCACCTACAGTCGTGTGCAGGCTGCCCCTACAGTCGTGTGCAGGCTGCCCCTACAGTCGTGTGCAGGCTGCACCTACAGTCGTGTGCAGGCTGCCCCTACTGTCGTGTGCAGGCTGCCCCTACAGTCGTGTGCAGGCTGCACCTACAGTCATCAAACTTCGGATACTTGGATAAGATTCCCGGTGATCTTAAAAAGACTGTGCTGCCTCCATCTTACCCACATGATATCTTTCGCGTCATTTCCACCTGATATCTTACGCGTTATCATATCACCTCTGGTCCTTTACCGTCCTGCCGTGATTAAGACGCGTCTAACTAATCCGTCCTCGTATCTCAACTCCCTTATCTCCGGTACTTGAAGCTCAAGAAAGCTCTAACACCTGCCCCGTCCCCTCAACTAATGGCTGGTATAATCACGGTATCCCACTTAGCCGTTTGGCAACGATTTAGTACATTTTAGCGCATATATTGGCGTTATCAGCGCCTCGGCCACGATAGGTGGGTTGGTTGGGTTGGTACGTTTCTAGAGAGGCGAAGCTGGGGTATATTTTACAATTTCAGACTTGCAAGTCTCTTGCAAGTCTGACACAAGTCAAGCCTGGCCTCGGGTCGGGCTTGGGTGAGTAGAAGAACTCCCAGAACCCCATCAACCAGGTATCAACCAGGTATCAACCAGACTTGGCTGATTCTTCTTGTATTTCCTCTTCAGTGACACTGGTGGAGCGAGGTCTCAGCTCCTGGTCCCCAGCACTAGTCTTGGTGGGTTGTCGTCTTATAATCCAACTATTCTCACGTTCGAATTCTTGGTCGAATCTGGTCTTAAAAAGTTGGTGTGGTGCTGTGGTAAAACTTGCCTGCTGCCACCATACAGGGGGTGGTGATGGCAGACAAGGGGTGACGGTGGCAGCAGACAAGGGGTGACGGTGGCAGCAGACAAGGGGTGACGGTGGCAGCAGACAAGGGGTGACGGTGGCAGCAGACAAGGGGTGATGGTGGCAGCAGACAAGGGGTGATGGTGGCAGCAGACAAGGGGTGATGGTGGCAGCAGACAAGGGGTGATGGTGGCAGCAGACAAGGGGTGATGGTGGCAGCAGACAAGGGGTGATGGTGGCAGCAGACAAGGGGTGATGGTGGCAGCAGACAAGGGGTGATGGTGGCAGCAGACAAGGGGTGATGGTGGCAGCAGACAAGGGGTGATGGTGGCAGCAGACAAGGGGTGATGGTGGCAGCAGACAAGGGGTGATGGTGGCAGCAGACAAGGGGTGATGGTGGCAGCAGACAAGGGGTGATGGTGGCAGCAGACAAGGGGTGATGGTGGCAGCAGACAAGGGGTGATGGTGGCAGCAGACAAGGGGTGATGGTGGCAGCAGACAAGGGGTGATGGTGGCAGCAGACAAGGGGTGATGGTGGCAGCAGACAAGGGGTGATGGTGGCAGCAGACAAGGGGTGATGGTGGCAGCAGACAAGGGGTGATGGTGGCAGCAGACAAGGGGTGATGGTGGCAGCAGACAAGGGGGGGGGGGCTAGAGAGGGAGAGGAGGTCGTGGCAGGAACATGTAAAAGCTACACCACCCCACTAAGAGTGCACGAGGCCTCCATGCCAGTGACGAAAGCATCACACAGTACTGCTTTCAGATTCAGCACTATACCCTTACAAGCTCAAGGTTCAGCACGGTACTCCCACAAGCTCAAGGTTCAGCACGGTACTCCCACAAGCTCAAGGTTCACCACGGTACTCCCACAAGCTCAAGGTTCAGCACGGTACTCCCACAAGCTCAAGGTTCAGCACGGTACCCCCATAAGCCCAAGGTTCAGCACGGTACCTCCACAAGCTCAAGGTTCAGCACGGTACCCCCATAAGCCCAAGGTTCAGCACGGTACCTCCACAAGCTCAAGGTTCAGCACGGTACCCCCATAAGCCCAAGGTTCAGCACGGTACCTCCACAAGCTCAAGGTTCAGCACGGTACTCCCACAAGCCCACAAGCTCACTCCCTCATGGCTCACAAACACGGCAGCAAACAGTCACAAACACCACCAGAGCACACACCATTCTGCCCCCAAACAGTCACAAACACCACCAATGTGTCGTCGTGAAGAGAGAACATTCAAGCCATACCTTGCTCCAGTACTCCTCCACCAGTTGGCCATTTCTTAAGACGTTGGATTTCCGCCGATTAACTTGTCTATCGCTGCGATGGCGTTGCTGGGGGGACAAGAGTGCACATTACACAATGAAATCACACAAAAGTGTAATATATCTATCATTAATAAATGAGGTAATGCGATGGGATCGAACTCTCGCCCCATTGTTCGGCCTCAATATTTCCTCAGAGCTAGAGTACGTCTCAATAACAGTAAACAATGTTGACCAGACCACACACTAGAAGGTGAAGGGACGACGACGTTTCGGTCCGTCCTGGACCATTCTCCATCGCCTTGAGAATGGTCCAGGACGGACCGAAGCGTCGTCGTCCCTTCACCTTCTAGTGTGTGGTCTGGTCAACTTACTTTAGCCCCGTTATTGTGACTCATCGCCTGCACAGTAAACAACATTAAGCAATAGGCAAGGATAACAGCCTAGATAATGTGCTGAATATCTCTCAAGAGTAAAGGCCGACACTCTTCTAATACTTATCACAATCTAACACTGATTCAGTACTATACACTTCTCTTAAACAGATTTATCACTATAAAGTACTCACAAGCACCGAAGTGTCAGTATGAAGTACTCGCAGGCAGATTCATCACTATAAAGAACTGAAACACGTTTAGTTCTATATGGTACTCATAAACAGATTCAACACTATACAATAATCACCAACAGATTCAGCACTATACAATACTCACCAAGAGATTCACCTCAGTACAATACTTACAAACACAATCATCACTATATAATACTTAAAAATACAAGATTCAACACTATATAATACTCACAAGATTCAGAACTAAACAAATAGTCACAAACACAAGATTCAGCACTATACAATACAAGCACAAGATTCAGTACAAGACAATACTCACAAACACAGCTTCAGCACTATACTCACAAGCTCAAGGTTCAGCACTATACACTCACAAGCTCAAGGTTCAGCACTATACTCTCACAAACTCAAGGTTCAGCACTATACTCACAAACTCAAGGTTCAGCACTATACACTCACAAGCTCAAGGTTCAGCACTATACTCACAAGCTCAAGGTTCAGCACTATACACTCACAAGCTCAAGGTTCAGCACTATACTCTCACAAACTCAAGGTTCAGCACTATACACTCACAAACTCAAGGTTCAGCACTATACACTCACAAACTCAAGGTTCAGCACTATACTCTCACAAACTCAAGGTTCAGCACTATACTCACAAACTCAAGGTTCAGCATTATACTCACAAGCTCAAGGTTCAGCACTATACTCACAAACTCAAGGTTCAGCACTATACACTCACAAACTCAAGGTTCAGCACTATACTCACAAACTCAAGGTTCAGCACTATACTCACAAACTCAAGGTTCAGCACTATACTCACAAACTCAAGGTTCAGCACTATACTCACAAACTCAAGGTTCAGCACTATACTCACAAACTCAAGGTTCAGCACTATACACTCACAAACTCAAGGTTCAGCACTATACACTCACAAACTCAAGGTTCAGCACTATACTCACAAACTCAAGGTTCAGCACTATACTCACAAACTCAAGGTTCAGCACTATACTCACAAACTCAAGGTTCAGCACTATACTCACAAACTCAAGGTTCAGCACTATACACTCACAAACTCAAGGTTCAGCACTATACTCACAAACTCAAGGTTCAGCACTATATACAGTCACAAGCTCAAGGCTCCTCACGGTACTCACAAAGTCATCATAGGCATCCTTGACGGCGGTGACGGTGAGTACCCCAATAAGGGGGACGGCTGTGGTGATGGGGGAGAGGGAGGAGATGACGGGGATCAGCTGCAGCACCAGCAAACACAGGAAGTAGAAGTTGGCCAGACGCTGAAACTGCTCAAAAAGGTTGTATGGGATGAAGTTCAGCATTGTGTACTTCGACGTTTTGATGAAGTTTTTCTGAAAAAACAAACGAAATAGTACGCATTAGATGTGTGTGTGTAACATGGAATTCTCTTTGTTCTGAAAGTAAATTGCACGATATTTACATCTAATCGCAATGGTTTAAATGAAATGGCTGATTGATAAGGTAGTTTTGTTAAGTGCCGGGATAAGGTCATTGACGCGCAATAAGCGCTCGGCGCTCTAATAGTTAAAAGTCAAACCAAAGAGCGAGAAAGCTCTTTGACCCAACAAACCCCCCCCCCCCCCTTCCCTATCCCATGAGCCTACTTTCACTCTAGTTCCCTGTGGTGGGAAGAGGCACAGTAACGCCTGAACACGCTTGAGGACGGTAAGTAGAGTTTGTACCAGGTATGTACCAGGTACAATACACCTGGATTGTACCTGGATTCCACTCTCTGGTCTACTGAGGACATCAGCTCGTGCTTCACAAGTTTCCAATACTCAACACAGAGTAGTCAACGCCCATTTGAATTTGAATTTAGTGAATTTTTTCACTATATCTTGGAATTATCTGTGCACTGTTTGACTAGTAAACACCGCTGAAGACTCATTCACGATACTCCATCAACATTATGCACTAGCACTATACATTTTCTCGACTGCCATTGCATTATTCATACTGAAGGGTTGTGCAGTCAAACATGAAAAATGGATAATGTCACGGATGTCATGACAGTGAACTTTACACGGTCACGAATTATTAACTACAGACGTTCAACTGCTCTTTGGATGAACATGAGAGCCACCAGGACCTGTGTTATCATGCTGATGCTCGCAGGTTAATGCACCGAGCTGTACCGAGATGAAAAAGCTAACCTATAAGGAAAATACTGGAGGGCCCAGGTCCCAAATTTGTATAGTAAAATAACAACATACTGGAGTGAGGGATATGTAAGGAAATGCAGAATAGCACCAGTGAAGAGTAGAGGCACCACTAGCACACACAGAACACTGTATCAACAACACACACTCACGGCTGTTCAATATCCTTCCAAGAAATATTGCCGGAACAAAAGTCGAAGTCTTCGAGAAACAACCGGACAGTTTTCTTGCAAGAAGTGCCGGACCAACCAGGCTCTAGTGGATATGTGGGCCTGCGGGCCGCTCCAAGCAACAGCCTGGTGGACCAAGCTCTCGCAAGTCGAGCTTGACCTTAGGCCGGGCTCGGGGAGTAGAACAACTCCCAGAACCCCATCCAGGTATAATCCAGGTACTATAAAGCTTTAATGAATTGGGTAGGCAAATACAGATTTTTATGGAACAGAGAGGAAAGTATTCGTACTTACTGAAAGATAATGAACAGGTTCGAGACGTAGCACTCATTGTGAATATCACAAAACACACGAATTATCTGAACACAAAAACGTAATCAATTAGTGACAGTTTTATGACTGTATTCATACCTTTGAGATGAAACTACAGCTCTTTGAAACCCAACTTTAAGAGTAATCTTTTACATTTTCTAACCCTGAAATCCCTCCAAGTTTTTCAGTGTTAGAAAATACTCGAGTTTCATTCTCACAACACAGACAAATACCACGACAAAATGTTAAGCAACGGAATGAGTGCCACGAAAGATATCCTGACTAAAAACCTGGAGAAACAGTTCAACATTTCCGGAATCCATTTAATCCATCAATGTTAATTTAGTATCAAACTTTGATTAGAATGTAATATGTGGCTTCTATTTTTTAATTATACTGTTATCTGTAATACCTTTTTAATTGTATTAATTGTCAGTGTGTCGCGCGGTGTACAAAAGATAATATTTATGTTTATGTAGTGTAATAGTATTGGTGAGCTTTTTGGGGTAGCCAGACCTGGGGCCAGATTCACGAAGCAGTTACGCAAGGACTTACGAACCTGTCCATCTTTTCTCAATCTTTGGCGGCTTTGCTTACCATTACTAAACAGTTAATGAGCTCCGAAGCACCAGGAGGCTGTTTATAACAATAACAACAGTTGATTGGGAAGTTTTCATGCTTGTAAACTGTTTAATAAATGTAACCAAAGCCGTCAAATATTGAGGAAAGATGTACACGTTCGTAAGTACTTGCGGAACTGCTTCGTGAATCTGGCCCCTGGCGGCTATCAACACGGAGGCGGGCTGAATCTGGAACACGAAGATTATCTTGAGGCTATCTTGAGGTTATCTTGAGATGATTTCGGGGCTTAGCGTCCCTGCGGCCCGGTCCTTGACCAGGCTTCCTTTTTGTTACACACACACACCCAGGAGCCCGTGGCAGCTGTCTAACTCCCAGGTACCTTTCCGCCTCCACCGGGGATCGAACCCTGAACCTCAGGACTACGAATCCGAAGCGCTGTCCACTCAGCTGTCAGGCCTCTGACAGGGAGGGCAATGTGTGTACTATTTGTGCCTACAGATTCTAGCGACAATTATATAACAAATGTTCCAGAGATGTGTAAATATTTAATTCAAAATGATCTGAAGAAGGGAGCCGGTCGGCCGAGCGGACAGCACGCTGGACTAGTGATCCTGTGGTCCTGGGTTCGATCCCAGGCGCCGGCGAGAAACATCGGGCAGAGTTTCTTTCACCCTATGCCCCTGTTACCTAGCAGTAAAATAGGTACCTGGGTGTTAGTCAGCTGTCACGGGCTGCTTCCTGGGGGTGGAGGCCTGGTCGAGGACCGGGCCGCGGGGACACTAAAAAGCCCCGAAATCATCTCAAGATAACCTCAAGATGCTACCAGAGATTTTAGCCAAATATCCCCAGTTTGCTAACTGTAGGTAATAACTGAGTGATTGTAACCTATCCACCGCTGCCCACTGGATGGGGGGCGGTGTGCAGGACAAACATATCAATTGTGACACTAGCTCTCCACATATGTCAGTTGCTTAATTTAGAAACTGTACTTGTGGTCGAGGTTATATCTTGAGGTTATCTTGAGATGATTTCGGGGCTTTTTTTTTTTTTTTAGTGTCCCCGCGGCCCGGTCCTCGACCAGGCCTCCACCCCCAGGAAGCAGCCCGTGACAGCTGACTAACACCCAGGTACCTATTTTACTGCTAGGTAACAGGGGCATAGGGTGAAAGAAACTGCCCAATGTTTCTCGCCGGCGCCTAGGATCGAACCCAGGACCACAAGTCCAGCGTGCTGTCCGCTAGGCCGACCGGCTCAATCTCGAACCCATTGATGATGTGACGACTTATACTGAATTTTGTAACTAGCTCATCAAGATTGTAACTTGCTTAGCTAAATGAATTGTGGGGTTCAGCCCCTGAGCCCATTATGTGCCTCTGTAACCCTTTCCTCTACCGCCCACATGATAGGTATGGGGTGCATAATAAATGAACTAAACTAAAAAATAACATTCTAGCTATTAGCTCTTGGACCCCCGCCTTTCTAACCAATCTATTTTTCCTGTTATGTCCATTACATATATTTTCCTCTAACACACACACATTCCGTGTGTGTGTTACATACCTGTGTTTGCGGGGGTTGAGCTCTGGCTCTTTGGTCCCGCCTCTCAACTGTCAATCAACTGGTGTACAGGTTCCTGAGCCTACTGGGCTCTGTCATATCTACATGTGAAACTGTGTATGGAGTCAGCCTCCACCACATCACTGCCTAACCTGTTCCACCTGTTAACTGCTCTGACGAAGTTGATTGTTCAATAATTTACTGAACATATTACATTACTGATAAATATTACTGTTTAACAGATCTCTAATCCTCTCCATGGAGTTAGTTTAGTTTAGTTCATTTATTATGCACCCCATACCCATCTAGTGGGCGGTAGAGGAAAGGGTTACAGAGGCACATAATGGGCTCAGGGACTGAACCCCACAATTCATTTAGCTAAGCAAGTTACAATCTTGATGAGCTAGTTACAAAATTCAATATAAGTCGTCACATCAACGATGGGTTCGAGATCGACCTCAAGTACAGGTTCTAAATTAAGCAAGTGACATATGTGGAGAGCTAGTGTCACAGAAGAAAGTGTATATATGCTGATTAACACAGTAAACGTGTGGCCACGTCTGTGGTAGAAAACAAAAAACTAACGTCTCTATGGCTCATTTGGGTACTAAGTTTCCACCTGTGTCCCCATGTTCGTATACTGCCATGCTAAATGGTGTCTTTATCTACCCTGTTAACTCCTCTGAGAATTTTATAGGTGGCGATCATGTCTCCCCCTAACTCTTGTCTTCCAGTGACTTAAGGTTTAATTCCTTAGGCCTAATTAAAAACCTAACCAATGCCTAAATATTACACAATATGCTAATATATAACAATACTGATTTCTATTTGAGATCATTTTTTATTTTGAGTGAACAGCATGTTAAAATTTATGAACGCGGCTGTGGGGTCGACCGCTGGATGGAATGGACTTGAGTTGAGGGCGGGTTGGATTGTGTGTAAACCGTTTTTCATCCATAAACAGGGGGGTTTGGCGGGTGCGTGGAATGGACTTTGGCCTTTGTTTAAGATGACGGGCCAGCTGTCTTGCGTCTACCTTTTGTACCTTCCGGGGATCAACAGCACCGCGGCCCGATCTCCAACCAGGCCTCCCGGTTGGTCGTCTGGGCAACCAGGCTATTAGACGCGGCTGCTCGCAGCCTGATGTATGAATCACAGCCTGGTTGATCAGGTATTCTTTGGAGGTGTTTGTCAAGTTCTCTCTTGAACACTGTGAGGGGTCGGCCAGTTATGTCCCTTATGTGTAGTGGAAGCGTGTTGAACAGTCTCGGGCCTCTGATGTTGATGACCCTTTTCAACGGGGGTATTCTGCACATCCTGCCATGCCTACTGGTCTCATGCAATACTTGTGTGCTCAGATTTGAAACCATGCCCCATTAATATCTTCCACGTGTAGATTATTATGTATCTCTCTCGCCTGCGCTCTAGAGAATACAGATTTAGAACTTTTTAATCGGTCCCAATAATTAAGATGACTTATAGAGTGAATTCTAGCAGTAAAGGGTCTTTGCAAGCTCTCCAGGTCAGCAACTTCTCCAGCTCTGAATGGGG